TTCAAATGAGGTTCTTAAAAGAAAAAGGAGGTTCTTCCCTTGAATATATCATGAAAAAAGCTTACGACACAAAATGTGCTGCTTCAAACTAGTTGCATAGTGTAAAGAACCGTAATGACGTGAATAGATGAAGAAACACACAGCATTGGGTAATGGACAGAATTTCATTTGCAGGGGTTAGTATTGACAAGAAAAGCTCTATATTAAATTATGTGATAGTCTGGGTTTGTTCCAACAGCCTTACTACCATGATGGATTCTGTATGAAGTTTTAATAACCTCCTCATCTCCTTAATTACTATGAAATGAAAATATAGTCATTACATATGCACAAGCATCATTAAAACAAGCACATCGTATGTTTGCCTTAAAGATGCCAACTCTCCACATAAAAGGGGAGGCACATCTAACCTTCCTATGGTAGTGAAAGACATATAAAAGGTTGCCCTGTTCACGCAAAATGTACTTCCAAATGACTAGACAAATATGAACATTGCATAGGTATATGTAGGAAAACGAAAAAAAAGAGAGAAGGAACTTATCCAACAAACATCTTCAGCAGATAAAAAGAGATAGGTAGGTATATATGACATGTTATGCTATATTTAAAGATGCAACATATCCTAGGCAAGGATACGTCCCAGTGGAGGCTTCCTCGAGTAATCACCAGGAATGCTGACAATGACTTGATTGATTCCCAAATACTCAAATGGCATGGCTCTTGAGTCATCATTCTATGGAAAATTAAATAAAAAAATACATGAGAAATAAAAAAAATACTGTTGTGAATAAATATCATATCCACATATTAATGGCACACCTGACAGCAAAAATTGAAAATATTTATCAACAAAATCTGTCATCCATACTCGACAAAAATATCGGGTAAGAAGCTACCTGCAAATTTATGTATCCAAGAAGCAGACACTCATACGGTCTGTGATGAAATAAATCCAGTTCACCGATCAATGATCCATCTGGTTTCACCTATATCAAGTTTTATAAATAAGTAAGATTTCATCCACAGGTCACCAGAGTTGAAGATCATCACAGTCAAACTGGCCGAACACTTGAATAAGAAAAAAATGCAGCAAACAAATGTGATATTCTGAGTGACCTTTAACCAATAGGAGAGAACAAATTTTGTCACTCCCCAAGCAGGAAATAGTTCATTCTCGACAAATATGCGTAGCTTTTCCCGATTAGTCATCCAAAGTGCCACAAGGGCTCCCCCTTCATGAGCAAGTTCCTTGACAGGAAGATACAGAAAGTATCTGTTAGGTAACGTCGGGTACCTGCAACAGAAACTTGGAAATAATTAGAAACTCATTTCAATAAGATAGATATTACGACTCAGATATGGTACGAGATTGGAATATTTATATCCAAGTACAATAAGACGGCAATAATTTTTGAAGGACCTACCAAGCTTAGACTAATTTAAGCATGCACTTGTTGATTACCATTTATTCAAAAGTTCCCAACAATGAATGTGACAGTCATCCATATGAAAGTTGTGGACAAAGATGTTGGTTAAATCACCAAGAACGGGCACTAAATTTTGGAAATTGGTTTGAGTTCCTCATCAGTAGGTTGAGTCTCATACTACATGATGCTTGGTTAACAAATTAGGTAATGTGAAGCATAATATATTTCACTTCTTGGGGTTGTGCACCAGGGTGTGGGTGGGTATTATTGATGCAACAAAACTGTGGGGAGCCATGTAACACTCTTTCCAGATTATGGAAGACATTCAACTCAATCTCTATATCAGCAAAAACTATCAGGTATGAACTAGTTTTAACATACTGATTACAAAAGGTCATACCATTTCAAGATTGTACGTTTACCGGTTCAAATATCAAATCAGAATATACAGGATAACTTCACACGTTTCATGAGTGTTATGGTTCCTTTAATAATCTATTCCAAAATTAAACCTGTCATAGTGTTCAAATGATCAACGAGGCTTGCTTACATCACCTGGACCATCCAATTGCGATTAAGCAGCTACCTTTACTTATAATAAAAGCAACACAGCATTTCTTGGATACTTAGACAAGTATTTGGAAATGATAGTCAAAAAACACATTTATTCTAGAATGTCTAAGAAATAGAAAAATCAAAAAAATGCACCATCTATTTGCACTAGATACCAAATAAACATGCAAAAAGCTAAAAGCTGAAACTGATGAAACATACACTGCTTTTTGGCAGGCACTCCCATTTTCCCATGGTGGGTCAATCACAATAAAGTTAAAACCATCTTTTGAGTGAGCTGTAAAACATTTTTCAACTGCATTAGAAGAAGAGCAAGGAAAATAATTATTTATATTATCTGGAAGAAAGAAGTGGAACAGTCAGGAATGTTGATGACTTGGCCTTCTCTACAGAAGTTGATTACCGAATGAGAGTGTTTGATTTGACTTGTGAAGATTACCAGGAACAAGATTGCGAACTTGTTGTAAGTCAGACTTCCATTCGACAGATCACCAAACCCAACATAGACATACACAAGAGAGATCATATTAGACATTGCAGGCCAAAGAGTACCAAAACAAGCCTCAGCCTATGTACCTTAATTCTGAATTCAGTGGTCTACAAACCAAGAGGTACATCAATAAAAATAATAAAAAATTTAATGCTCTTAGTGAGCAACAGAATAATCACAAGTGTCAAATGGTACCATGTGGAAGCAGCTTCTACTGGGTAATATATAGCGATTGCTCTGAAACTCAGCTTCCACATCTTCATTTGTCTCATTACAAATTAAGTTATTATACAATTGGTGCACTATAATAGTTCCGCCATGATCGCCAAGCCTATAACCTGACAAATCATAATGAAAGAAAGTTAATTGGTTGTCTTGGTGGTAGACTTACCAACGTCATCATAGTTTCAGAACATTATGGGAAGAAGAACTCGTGCTACAAATGTTCCAAAATTTCCATGGAAAAATATCACATCACCATCTATCATAAACCAAACTCTAATTTCAAAAAGATATAACTGCATGAATAAGTTTACCACAGAAAACAGCCAGATAACTCCACATGATTATTATATTCTTTGCAAGCACTTCACCAAGGAGCTACTTAAAGCAAACTCCAGGCCCTTCGAACAATATTAGAATTTGCTAAAGCATCTTATGCAAATCTTTTGTATGTCAGTTAAGGATCCTGACCTCCTGTATCATCTGACAAGTTCTTGTTCCTAAAACAAAGTGATATCTCGTACAACGGCGCTTGCCAGAGGCTTCCAAGCTGAATAAATTTCTGTTCCGAAGCTCTCCTAGTAGGCAAGGAGACCTCAGACTTCACCAATTCGGGAAGCAAGGCTTGGAGCTCAGCAGCTTCGAGAAATGCTTTGTGCGCATTCAGCAAAAAAGTTCTCGCTTCCTGTCAGATATTTCTTTATAAAAAGAGGAACTTTTTGCCCTCAAAGGAAACGGGAGGAATATCAAGCTTCAACGAAAAAGGGGGAAGACCAGTACTTGGTGGCGCTTCACCGCGGCTCTTTCGCTCTCGTTCAAATCGCGCGGCGCTCGCGTCCTCTTCCTCTTCTTCAGAATCCGAGAATCCTCAACGGCATCGGTTTTCAATGCGGCGGTGGTAGTCTCGAAGGAGCGGGAGTAGTAAGCCGACGGAGATACCCAAAATCGAGTGTAGGAGTGGTTGATGATTCGAACAGGGTCGAGAAAGACCACCTTCGACCCATCCCGAACCAGTCGATAGATTCCGGTGTCCAAGAATGATCTGACCTCGTCCGACATCTCCTCTCAAGCTTTCGACCACCCCGCGGACTGCGGAATCGCCATGGGTGGAGGGGAGAGAGTGAGACCCCGGTTCGCTATGACCTAATCCGGACGCAGGCATAGCTGCTCTGTTTTCATTAGCCGAATGCAACTATTTATTTTTTATTTGTTGCCATACAAATACATTCAAATAATAATATGCCCTTTTCACCTTACGACAATAATAATAATAATAATAATAATAATAATAATAATAATAATAACATACACATTTAGGAATTGATCGAGCGCACGTTTATCAAATTACAATCGAAAAATGAGACAATTAATACTAATGTTGCAAGAAAAATAAGAAAGATATGTTAGAACATTCATAGATATATATATATATATGTATATATATATATATATATATGTATGTATATATATATATTATATATATATATATGTATGTATATATATATATATATATATATATACATAT